ACCTAAAAAATTTAAATTAGGGTTTATTGATTAAAAACCTAAAATTAAGCTAAAACCTAAAATTAAATTAGAAATCTAAAATTAAATTAGAAACCTAGAATAAAATTAAAAACCTAAAAAAAATTAGGTTTGTGTTAAAAAAAGGTTTTGAAAAATGTTTGGTGAAAGAATAGGAAAAAGAAGGAAGAAAAGAGTGAGAAACATATAATTGGAAAAAATAAATAACCAAATGAGTAGGTGTGGGTGTTGAACCCACGCCCTCATCAGTTTCACGCAGCAAGCATACCACCTTGCCAAGCGCGCCTTGGTGTTAGGATACACCTCCAATGTGTTTTATAACAAACCTGCAAAAATAATGAAAATATGAAAGAATTTGGCAAAACTGGGGATCGAACTCGTGATCTGGGAGAGGAGTGACTTAGCGCGCACGTTTCTACCACTCGGGTGGCTATACATCCGTTTATGTAAATCAAACAATTAATATATAATATAAACGCGTAGGAGTCAAACCACCACCTCCGGTGGTTAAATCCTTCTTCTCCAGCTAGGCTATTTACGAAACATGCGAAATCAAGTCAAAGAAAGAATAAAAAACATCCTTGTCCATTAATTGAGGCCTCACGAATCTAATGGTGACGTCTGTTTTGATTGAAACGGCCTGTAACTAGGGTTTCAAGAATTCACGAGCTCGGTGCCCTAACAATGGCACTTGGTCATTCTGGCCTTAGATCTCACATGTTATGCATCCAATTTGTTCTAATGACGGGCATTAACACATTAAAACACACCAAGTTAATTAACAATGCATAAATCGTAAGCTTTGGATTTGAAAAATTATACCAAATCGGTGAGGATGGAACGCGACCTTCCTACGTGATTTTAGCTTCAAAGAAGGTATGGATGATCTCCTGGAACCTTCAGGGAGATTATTGGATCGTTGGAATTGATTGGAAGGGCTGAAGATGAGAGTTTGACTTTGCCCTAATTCTTTGAAAATTTGAGAATTTTGCTAGGGGTTTTGAGGAAGCTTTCACGTGTGTTATTGGTCTAGTATTGTCAGATATATATATATATATATATAGTACAATCAAATTAGGTTAACAAAAGTGAAGGAAATCTTGCATTAAGAGGTGAAGATTTGATTTGGAAATTTGCATGGAAACTTGCTATTTTTGGCTCAATCTTGCACCAATCACTCTTGCACGAATTTGACAACTTGTATATGCAATCTTGGGCCTCCAACATGATTTATAACAAAGCCCACATTCCTTGGTGCATTGGTATTATATTTATTTAATTTATTTTGAATTTAATTGAATAAAAATCAAAACAAATAAAATAAAAACAAAAGATAATGCATGAATGGACTTATGGGTCTTTAAACATGTCATGAACACGTTTGGACCTGAAAACTTAGGCCCAAGAATGGTGGTTTCTCACGAGTGGGCAACTCTGGGATACATCTTGTGTATGTTCTACTCAACAACATCAAAATCAACTGGCCCTACTACTTCGTGACTAAAATGTTTGCTATCAAGGAGTGAAACAAAGGGACTGTTTTTTGCTATCTATCAATGATAGCGAAAAATTATGAATTTCTTCAATATTGGCTTTCCCAATCTTTTGATGACTTATCCAACTCCTATTTTAGAATTCACCAAGAGAATAATGCATAACTTGATGTATCATTGAGATGGTGCTAGAGAGGTGTACTTCTATAAAACTCTACAAACAAAGAGAAGAATTTACAATTATGATGACCCTACTAAGTATATGTATGATGAGGATCAAGAGAATGATGATGGTCCTGAAGACATTAGTGGAGTCCCACAAGATGACATTCTAATGGCTGACGTAAACCATGAAGAAGATACAACTTGGCTGAATGCAACTGATGCTCAACAACACAATAATGAGCAGCCTTGGAATGAAAATTGGCAACAAAATTGTTGGAATGCACCAGGAAATGAATACACGGGAGATGGAGGAAATTCCTACGAATATGGTTCTAACAGCAATATGGATAACAACTCTGAAGTTCTCACAATGATTGGAAGCATGGAAATTCAGCAAGACCTTCATTATGAAGAAATTGTGGCTTGGCACAATGCTCAAGTAGAGTAGCGCAACGAACTTCAAACCTCTCGAGATGAGAAATTCAGAATGTTGAATGCAAGGATGGACAATCATGAATCAAATTTGGTGCTATTCTCTTCTAGAGTCGATGAACAATTCCAATCTCTTTATGAAGATATTCTGAAGTCATATGAAGTCTTGCAAGGAAAATTCAATAATCTCCACTCAATATCCGCACACCAAGGTGATGAAGCTACTACATTTTATGATGAAATGCTTAGAATTGGAAGGATGTATCAAAGACATGGTGGTGGTGGTCCACGAGATCGTTAGTGCATATTATCCAAATGTGTCTTGTCTATATAATCATCAGTTTATGCATTTCTATATCATGAACAATGTTGAGCTTTGTTTTGTGTTTTTTGTATTCTGGATTATAAGTTTGAACAATGTTATGCTTTGTTGAATGATTTTTACTTATCTTGTTTTATGGAGCTTATTTGCAAAATGGCCTTTGTTTGATATATTAGTCTTGCTTGTTAGTTGGGTTGAAGAATATGATACTTCTCATAGTATTCCTTGTTTATTTTTTATGTCAAATGAGGGACAATATACATGCTATGATCAAGAGTGAAAGCACATAATCAGGGGGGCATTGAAAAAAAAGTGAAAGGCATATCATTGCATTTTTTCCATCATAAAAAAGGGGGAGTTTGTGAGTGAAATCTCTCTTTCAATGCTTTTGCATGATGTCAAAAATACAAGTGTCTATCTAAATGGCCTCTTAGATGGTTTGATGTATTATGCCACTTGAGAATGGTTGGGAAGTCATCACAATGTGTGTTGAATCATTAGTGTTCTTAAAACTAAGTTTTTTTAGTCAATTTTTGTTGCTTGTGTCGACACATCTGAGGTTCAGGCTGACACGTGTAACTCACTTTTAAAGCCTGTAAGTCACAGGTCGACACATGCATCATACAGGTCAACACATACTGAAAGAATTTTGAAAGTGCATAAATTCTTATTTTATGTGTCGACACATTCATATTATAGGTCGATACATTTACTCACATTTTAAAGCTTTTGTAGCTTCTGACTTGCTCAGGTCGACACATAGAGTCCTTCAGGTAGGAACATGCATCTTTTTCATAACGTATGTGTGATGAGATTGCAGTAATTACTCAATTGAGGAAGTCTGAGATTGAAGCTAACATGACTACCAAAGGAGGAATCAGAGGTTTACCTGCTCAGTTTCTATTGGAGAAAGCTCTTTACTTTGCCAAGATGAAGAGCACAATTGATTTTGAGGATATCTTTGCTTTACTTGCCTATGTTTTGTTCTTATTTCCTAACAAAATCGAAACGTTTGTGGATGTTAATGCCATTAGGATCTTTCTGGTTAGGAATCAAGTCCCTACGCTGCTAGGAGATACTTATTATTCCATCCATCTTTGGAATTTCTATAAAGAAGGGATGATCATCTCTTGCACATTGTTGTTTTACCAGTGGTTTATTTCTCACTTGCCCCGGTTGTTGCAACCGGTTTTTTAATAGAGTCGCCACCCTTTATTTTTTATCCTAAAGAAAGGGAGTATAAAGGGATAACCTAAAAGAAATTCAGAGATTCTAGGTTTGGACTCGGTTCTAGACGAGGGGAAGGTGTTAGGAACCCCTTATCTACCTTGTTCGCAAGGATACTAGGTTTAGAAGCACGATGTTTTTAGGAAATAGGGTTTTAATTACTTATTAAGGGAAAAAGGTTTGAATTTTAGTTAGCAGGACTCGCCACGATTTTAATCGTATGCCTACGTATCCTCTTAGGAGGAATCAGAGTCCTATTTCGTAGTTCGCGGTTGATTTGTGTTTTTTATGGATTGCAAAATATATTTACCGCATACGTAGTCTAAGAGTGTGAATATTGGAGTTTGTTAGACTAAGTACACAGTTGAATCAAATATATTTGTATTCCTTTTTCGAAAATTAATGTTGAATTAATTTATTACGAAAAATAATTTGATATTTGTTTGAGTATTTTTTTAGACGTATAGCGAAGGAGTCTGATATAGTCGCCTCATCATGTGACCCGATATTGGCCACGTGTTGCTTTTCGTGAAGGATGTGGAGGAAGTCTGATATAGTCTTCCTCATCACATGACCAGATATTAACCACGTGTTGCCCGCAGATGGTGAATTTGATGAATTGCACGGATTTTAATATTTTGACGTAAAATATTAACTTAATTTAATTATTTGATTTTGAATAATAAATCGATAGATGATGTGTCAAAAGATTTAATGTTAAAATTAATTATTTTTTATTATTTTATATGTATGATTAGTAAGCACTTAAATTCTAAGTTAAAACAACAAATAGAAAAATTAAAACCAAATAAAAGAGGGGTGTTAAATTGTTATGAGAGTATGGGCTAATAAAATATCAGTAAGAATACCTTATGATACTAAGGCCCAAAATAATTATATATTGATCTAAATGTAGATAATTAATATAAGAAGAAAATTTAATTAAATAAAAAAAACTTAGTGATATAAAAAGATGATGGGAGTGGGGACGGTCTGTACCGCATTAACTTAATTAACCTTTTTTCGTCTGGAAACGTGGAGTTTTCCACTCCCTCCATTGAAACAACAAAAATAAATGAAATAAAGAAATTAAGACTTGGTCAAACTTATACAAACACCATTTACATAATGACACTTGGCTTTTAATAAAATTAAAAAAAAACAAAAAAAATTAAAGTGATATAGCATAAAAGAATTAATTGTTATCAGTAACACAAAGCAGACGTGCTTTCTTCTCTATTCTATATTTATACTCTTAACATTCTTCCGTTCACAAAATCAATTCCATCTCAAATCGATTTATTCAAACACCATAATCAAATATCAACAAAAGTAAGAAATTGTTACCAGATCATAAAAATCCACGCGAGTTCTAGAAGTTTACTCACGGCGACGCTCATAGGTGGTTGCCGACCGTTTGCTGCATGGAGAGGTTTAGCGACGGTGGCCTGAATTGTGGTGTCTGTGGTCAATGGATTCGTTGATGGATCGAAAATGAGAGTGGTTGGGATCGATACAGCGGATGTGAGGTGGAGCGATGTGAATTGCTGCAAGTAAAACGGCGCCGATGAGGTCGAGTGGTTGCATCTCAGAGGGCATGGTTGATTGAAATACGCGCGGCGGCTGTAGGGTTTCATTATTGGCGGTTTCCGGCTTGGGAATTTACAGACGGGATCGAGAGCTTCGATTTGTTTTCGTTGTTTAGTTATGCTCCTTTCACCTTCTTTTCCTGCCAAATAAACTCAGTGCAAATCATTATTTTTTTTCCAGGTTTTCATGTCTTTTAAAATTGCAACGGTTAGTGAAGATTGTTGAATAAACATTAAATGTGTTAGTAATAAAGTTTTACATTAAACATGGTAGTAGGAAGGACACAAGTTTTAGTAAGTTATTAGTAACAGTTATGTTTTAGTTTATGTTTTAGAATTGTAAAAGCTATTTGGGTCTATAAAAGACCAAGAGTGTATTTTATTTTATAAGAGTAATATACAAGTTTTGATCTAAAGTCTGATTCGATTTTAACAATTTGACATCAGAGCTCATGGCAAACATGATGAATCAAATGTCGTTGCCACGACTAACGAAGTCTAATTATGAAAACTGAAGTATCCAAATGAAAGCTCTTCTTGGATATCTAGACGCGTGGGAAGTGACCAATGATGGGTTTGAAGAACCAACAGAAGTTGGGGGATATACGGCAGCTCAAACGAAGACGTTGAAAGAGACGCGATCGAAGGACAAAACGACATTATACATATTGTTCAGGGTTGTAGATGAATCAGGCTTTGAGAAAATTGCTGGTTCGACTATGTCGAAACAAGCGTGAGACACGTTAGAAAAAGTGTTCAAAGGAGTAGATCGAGTGAAGCAAGTTCGACTCCAAACTCTTCGTGGCGAATTGGAGAGGATACATAAATTGTATCTGACTACATCACACGTGTGCAAAAGGTGGTGAATCAACTCACCAGAAATGGAGAGACAATACCTGATGCACGAGTTGTTGAAAAGATCTTGAGATCTTTAACAGACAAGTTTGAAAATATTGTATGTGCAATAGAAGAGTCGAAGGACCTTTCGACGCTCTCAATCGAAGAGCTCGCTGGTTCTCTCGAAGCACATGAACAACGAAAGATGAAAAAGAAAGAAGAAGCAGGCGAAGAAGCAAACCAAACTAAGGAATCGAACAAAGACGAAAAGGTACTCTTTTCTCACAACTTTCGAGGAAGGGGACGTGGACGTGGAGGTCGTGACAGTGGTCGAAGTGGTAGAGGTAGCAACTTCGAAAGAGGACAATCGAGCCAACAAAATTGGCGTGGCAGAGGACGTGGTCAAAGAGGTGGTCGTTCGAATTATTCCAACTTCGAATGCTACAAGTGTGGGAAGTATGGTCATTATGCGAAGGATTGTAACTCCTACAAATGTTACAACTGTGACAAAGTGGGACATCTTGCAAAAGACTGTCGAATCGAAAAGAAGATTGAAGAAACAACCAACCTAGCCTTGGAAGCTGAATCGAATGAAGGCTTTCTCCTGATGGCTCAAAACGAAATCAACACCAATGACAGTGTTTGGTATCTTGACTCAGGAGCAAGTAATCACATGTGTGGTTACAAATACCTGTTTAAAGATATGAAGAGAATTGAAGATGGTAATGTGTCTTTTGGAGATGCATCGAAAGTGAAGGTCGAAGGAAAGGGCACAATCAGTTACTTGCAGAAGGATGGCTTGATTGGATCAATCGAAGACGTTTACTATGTACCAGATCTCAAGACCAACATATTAAGTCTGGGACAACTTACAGAAAAAGGTGCTTCGATACTGATGAAAGATCGAACACTGCATTTGAAGGACAAAGTAGGATATCTGATTGCCGCTGTCGAAATGGAAAGAAATCGAATGTACAAACTGAACCTGAGGAACATTCGAGAGAAATGTCTTCAAATCGAAGTGCAAGACAAAGCGTCACTATGGCATATGCGCTTTGGTCATCTACATCATGCTGTTTTGAGAAGGTTGGCGAAAAGGAACATGGTGCATGGACTACCAGACATGGATTTCGAAGGAAAATTCTGTGAAGAATGTGTGCTCAGCAAACAAACAAGAACCTCATTTCAAAGGAAGGCAGAGTATCAAGCTAAACATATTCTCGAATTGATACATACTGACATATGTGGGTCAATCACTCCAGAATCCTTCAGTGGAAAAAGGTATTTCATTTCTTTTATTGACGACTTCTCAAGAAAAACCTGGGTCTACTTCCTGAAAGAAAAGTTTGAAGCATTAGAAGTGTTCAAAAACTTCAAAGTAATGGTAGAGAAGGCAACAGACAGACACATCAAAGCAATTCGATCTGACAGAGGAGGTGAGTATACTTCAATGGCCTTTGTGAAGTACTGTGAAGAACAGGGCATAAGGAAATTTCTAACTGCACCATATTCACCTCAGCAAAATGGTGTGGCTGAAAGGAAGAATCGAACTATTTTTGACATGGTTCGATCAATGCTCAAAAGCAAGAACACGTCGAAAGAATTCTGGGCAGAAGCAGTACAATATGCTGTTTATATTCAGAATAGATGTCCACATTCGAAGTTAGAAGACAAAACACCACAAGAAGCATGGAGTGGACAGAAGCCAACAATTTCTCATCTCAAGGTATTTGGTAGTATAGCTTATGCACATGTACTAGATCAACGAAGAACAAAGCTTGAAGACAAAAGTCAGAAGTACATATTCATTGGATATGATGAGAAGACGAAAGGGTACAAGCTCTTCAATCCCATAAGCAAGAAAGTGATCGTGAGCAGAGACGTTCAAATGAACGAAGCAATCAAGTGGGACTGGAACATTTCGACAGAGGTTGTTGACACAGTCGAAGAAACAACTGTAGCTGTACCAACAAGTATTCCAACAGAACATGAAGAAACAGAAGATGGAGATGAACCTCTACAACCAAAAATGAGAAGTTTGCAAGATTTGTATGATTCAACAAGTGAGGTGCATCTTGTGTGTCTTCTGGCAGATGCTGAAAACATCAGCGTCGAAGAAGCGTTACGAGACAAGAAGTGGAAAAGTGCCATGGACGAAGAGATTAGAGCAATCGAACGCAACAATACTTGGGAGCTAGTCGAATTACCAAAAGGAAGTCAACCCATTGGTGTAAAGTGGGTATTCAAGAAAAAGATGAATGCTCAAGGAGAAATCAAAAGATTCAAAGCACGGCTGGTTGCAAAGGGATACAAACAGAAAGCAGGAATTGACTATGATGAAGTGTTTGCGCCTGTTGCAAGAATGGAGACAATTCGATTACTCATTTCTCAAGCTGCTCAGTTCAAATGGCCAATATTTCAAATGGATGTCAAGACAGCATTTTTGAATGGTGTGCTCGAAGAAGAAATCTATGTCGAACAACCACTTGGATATATGAGAACTGGAGAAGAGAAGAAGGTGTTGAAACTGAAGAAATCACTGTATGGGTTGAAGCAAGCACCTAGGGCATGGAACACACGTATTGACACATATTTCAAAGAGAATGGGTTCGAGCAATGTCCTTATGAACCCGCCCTCTATGTGAAGAAAAATGGAAGTGATTTATTACTTGTTGCTCTCTATGTTGATGACCTTATCTTTCTAGGCAGTGATGTTCAGATGATCGAAGATTTCAAGAGCACCATGACAAGCGAATTCGAAATTACAGACTTAGGTCTGATGAGATTCTTTCTTGGTCTGGAGGTTCGACAAGAAGAAGCTGGAATTTTCATCTCACAAGAAAAATATGCAAAGGAAATCTTAGAAAAATATAAAATGAAGAATTGCAATCCAACTTCGACGCCAATGGAACCAAGTAAAAAACTATCAAAGTTTGATGGAGGAGAACGGGTCGAAGGAAGCAAATATCGAAGCTTGGTAGGTAGCCTTCGATATCTCACATGCACAAGGCCAGACATTTCACTAAGTGTTGGCATAGTAAGTCGATTCATGGAGGAACCAGTACACACACATTGGAAGGCGCTGAAACGAATTCTAAGATACATCCAAGGAACAGTATCACTAGGAATGTTTTATTCAAAAACAGAAGACTACAAGTTAGTTGGTTATTCTGACAGTGACTGGTGTGGAGACATAGACGATCGAAAGAGCACCTCTGGATATGTGTTTTTCATGGGAAACACAGCATTTACTTGGCTGTCGAAGAAGCAACCTATAGTAACACTTTCGACGTGTGAAGCTGAATATGTGGCAGCATCCTGGTGCGTCTGTCATGCAGTATGGCTCAAAAGGTTGATAAGCAAGATGGAGCTGAAACAGGAAGATCCAACAATAATACAAGTGGACAATAAATCAGCTATCGAATTGACAAAGAATCCAGTGAATCATGAACGAAGCAAACATATTGATGTTCGATTTCACTTCATTCGTGAACATGTGAAGGAGGGAAGTGTCAAATTAAGGCATGTAGCAAGCAGAAACCAAGCAGCGGATATTTTTACAAAACCACTATCAAAAGAGGTCTTCGACAGAGGCAAGAAGATGATATGAATGCTGGATGAAAGAAACATTTAAGTTTACAGAGGAGTTTTGTTGAATAAACATTAAATGTGTTAGTAATAAAGTTTTACATTAAACATGGTAGTAGGAAGGACAAAAGTTTTAGTAAGTTATTAGTAACAGTTATGTTTTAGTTTATGTTTTAGAATTGTAAAAGCTATTTGGGTCTATAAAAGACCAAGAGTGTATTTTATTTTATAAGAGTAATATACAAGTTTTGATCTAAAGTCTGATTCGATTTTAACAATTTGACATCAGAGCTCATGGCAAACATGATGAATCAAATGTCGTTACCACGGCTAACGAAGTCTAATTATGAAAACTGAAGTATCCAAATGAAAGCTCTTCTTGGATATCTAGACGCGTGGGAAGTGACCAATGATGGGTTTGAAGAACCAACAGAAGTTGGGGGATATACGGCAGCTCAAACGAAGACGTTGAAAGAGACGCGATCGAAGGACAAAACGACATTATACATATTGTTCAGGGTTGTAGATGAATCAGGCTTTGAGAAAATTGCTGGTTCGACTATGTCGAAACAAGCGTGAGACACGTTAGAAAAAGTGTTCAAAGGAGTAGATCGAGTGAAGCA